TATTAAATGTTGGTAATTAGTAAGTCACGAATAAGTAAGGATCTTATGTTCCCGAGACCAGAATCTTGTCACTGGGTGGTTATTTGAAATTTTCAGTTCTATAATCTGCTTCTTTTCCTTGTTGCAATATTTTGAGCGGTTTATTTTTGTGAAAATATTTACAGTTCATCGAAGGGAGCTGCTAACTTGAACCTTATTAGAGAGAGCTCTAATTTCGTACTTTAAAATAATATTTTGACTTATTTTATTAATAGCAAGTATTTCCTTTTAGATAGAGGTTATAATTTTTATTTAAGAATATTAATAGAATTTGGAATCTAAATCTAATTAGGAATACTCTACTAAAATATTGAAAATACTAAACAATTTAGAAATTAAATATTAATAGAAAATATATATTATTTAGGAATTTAATATTAATTAGGATTCCAACTATTTACAAATTTAATACTAATGAGAATTTTATATTTAACTCCTATTCTTGCTGTGCCTTTCATATTTGCATCCATAACAAAGGATAAGCCAAGAAGTTAGTTACTAGATTTTCAATAAGTTAGATCACTTCCAGAATAACTAACTCGCTGCTCTTGTAATAAAAACCTACTGCTATCCGCTGAACTGATTAATGAATGAATAATTAATTTAAAGTATTGAGTAATTTCCTACTCAAGAGATTATTGGTTCTTTCTTATGAGCCCATAAATTAGACTTGAAATAAATAAGGAAAGAAAAACTAATAAACATTCACAATCTCCTACTGATTTTTATGTTCATCATTTCATAACAAGATCCATTAATAGGGATCCTAACAATACAGCCATCTGAAAAATTCATAGCTTCCTAGATTGTCTTAGGAACATGAGTGTTGGCCAGGATTATAACAAACGCCTTAAATTGAGGTGATAATTTTGCATAAGATACAAAATTGTGCAATGGATGACTTGTACAAGATCTTACTCTTTTCCTTAGTGCAATTGGACGATCATCTCTCATTTTCACTTTTAGTATGCTTTGATTGTGAGTTGGAACTCTCGTTCAGAGAAGAGTTCTTGGCTATGCTTAGGAAGTTGCTGCACTGAATCTTCTCCCTTTTTCTTTCTTCTGGAGTAAACAATGTTTTCTCCATTCTGATTTGATGGATTCTCTTAGGATGTTTCCAAGGTAGATGCAGTTTCTGGAATCCATGACCAGGTTCAAAAACTTGTTTAAGAGATGGAATAGGACTTCCCTGAAAGATGTTCTGTGGCTCAGTAGATTGGTCATGTTCCCTTGTTGTTTGAAGAATGTCATATTCATTAAAGTATAAACCATTGATTTATAGGTGAATAGCATTTGCATCCCTTTTAGTGTGGGTGTACCCTAAAAAGATGCACTTGACTGATTCTGGATCCAGCATGCTGCAGTGTTGTGGATAAATAAGAACAAATGCAGAGCATCCAAAGAGTTTTGATGGAATTAACATGGTTTTATTATATAGGTAGTTTGTGAGTAGTTTTTGGATTGAAGTTAGGAATGCTAACACTTGAGATGACGTTCTACTGATAAGCGAAATGGCAGTTAGTATGGTTTCTCCCTAGAAATGATTTGGTATATTTGCTGAAAACATAAGGGATCTGGCAACCTCGAGGATGCGATGATTCTTTTTCTCAGCTACTCCATTTTGTTGAGGTGTATCAACACATGAACTTTAGCGTATAATGCGTTGGTTTTTAGAAGACTTCCAAGAGTGATTTTGAAGTATTCCTTGGCATGAGGGTTCAAGTAAAATAGCATGCGGAACATTGATGTTAGGGTGAAGAAGTCACATCAGTCTGTTGGTTGTAACAGCAGAATGTATAACCTAGTCTATGTTTCTTGATTTCTTTACTGGGAAGGAATGAGATAGACTTTGATTTTTAGGTGTTTTGACTCTGCCTTGGAGGTTATCAATTATCTTATACCAGTACTAATGGGACTTAAGTTAGTATATCTAGCAGTAAACCAAGTTACATCATGTCCCTTTTTTGAATGTGACCAAATGGGCTTCTCCAGTTCCTGGGGTAATCACACATTTTTCATAGTTTCATTGGATTATCATTCTGCAAAAAATAAAAAATCACACAATTCCTTTTTCATTCAGGATTTTCTGTCTGATTTACTTTTGTTGGTTGTGCCTTATCAGGTTGAAGAAAAACTTCAATGTAGCTATCGCAAGGAGTGCAAGATGCTGAAGAATCTAGATGATAGAGGTGCAGAGTCAAGTAAGATTGAAAATGTTCACACTTCAATCAAAAGATTGCTTTCCAAAATTGATGTTACCCTCTCAGTGGTTGATGCAATATCAAGCAGAGTTCAAAAATTAAGAGATGACGAATTGCATTTCCAATTGATTGAATTGATTGAAGGGTAAGAGATTATAACTTTTCTTTCCTTCCCCTCCCTCTCTCAGTTTTGTCGGTTGTATCATTGTCAAGTTACTGATGCAAATGCTAATGCCAGCAAGAAAAGATTGTTGTTTCACCAAGCTTGGAGCCTCAAATCTTTTCATGGATTAGTCTTAACTCATTGACAGGGTCATTTTCTGAAGTACTTTGACCATGCTTAATATGGTTGTAATCTTACTTGCAACTAAGAGGCACCCCTAGTTTTCTTGAGTCACAAAAAGTGCTTGTTAGAACATATCATTTTTTATGAAAATAAACTTTTGAGATAACTGACAACAGCCTGTTATTTGTTGTCTTAGAGCTAAGGATACAACGTTTCAAATTTGGTTGTTGCTCAAATTATTTTTGTTAAATTTTAGCATAAGGTACACTGGTGGCCTTGTCTTTGGTCCACATTTTCAGCTTAGTGAACTTGCAAATAAAAGGACATGTGAGTGTAAATATAGATCGGATGATTTCCTATTCATTTAAACTCTTGAGTGCAATCAACTCTAGCTTATGGCTTAGTCTCAGGCCTAGAGACCATCCAATTTGAAACATTCTTAAACATAGCCGAGGCAAAACCTCAAACCGGGGGGGGGGGCATCTTGAACTAGGCATGACCTAGCCTAAGGCATAGTTCTAAGACTCAGTATGGGATTCCAAACCTAGGGATGGCCCAACTTTTGACATGGTTTTGACCTAGACACATATTTTGAACTCAAGCTTGAGCAGGACCTGGCCTGGTTT